TTATGTATTCTCTCTCCCTCCCTCTTTCTCCCTTTCTCTCTCTCTCCCCCTCAGATTTTCATCACTGTGAATTGCCTAAGTACAGACTTCTCCTCCCAAAAAGGGGTGAAAGGGCTTCCTTTGATGATTCAGATCGACACGTACAGTTACAACAATCGAAGCAATAAACCCATTCACAGAGCTTACTGCCAAATCAAGGTCTTCTGTGACAAGGTGAGTGGAGATAACAATCTGACAGGAGAAGTCTTTGTATGTAGCTATTAATCATGATGGAATTTCCGCTCCCCCTCCCACTGCCTCTGAGGGGTCGGTGTCAAAGTAATCTCCCAGACAATCATCCTGTGAAAAGTCACTCTTGGTTATTCCCTACTACCTTACAAATGTCAGGACTTGGTAATGAAGACCCTCACCACTCAACTGGTTTCTTGACTAGTCGCTTCTGTAGCTCCCATAATGACCGGCTTGCAACTGATTCAGCCATAGAATCACAGAGGCTAGGAGTTGGAAGGGTCCTCAAAGGCCACCTTGTCTAACCTGTCTGTGCTTGAAAAAAAATCCCTCCTTTCTCATATCTCCTGAGTGGTGAGCCAGCTTTTAGATTGGGAGAGCTGAGACTCTTCTAAGGCAGCTCATGCTGCTCATGGGGGACTCTAATTGTTAAGATATTTTCTTCTTATATAAAGTCTAAATTTGCTTCTTTGAAAATTCTACCCTTTTGCTACTAATCTTTTTACCCTCTGGCACAATGCAGGACAAGTCTGTTTTTTCTCCTGTATGACAGCCCTTCACATATTTAGAAAGTTATCCTGCCTCCTCTAAATTTTTTATTTTCTTTTTCTTTAAATGATAAGATGTTCACAGTTCCTTTGACTGACCTTTATGTGCCATAAACCTTAGCTGTTCAAGCTGTCCTTCTCTGGCTGCTCTCTGACTTATCAATGTGCTTCCTAAATGTGGCACTGAGGACTGAACACACTGCTCCAGAGATGGTCTGCCCAGAGTAGATCACAGTAGTGCTGTCATTGGATAGGGTGTTGGAGTCAAGAAGATCTGAGTTCAAATCCAGTCTCAGACACTTACTAGCTGTGTGACACTGGGCAAGTTACTTAACCTCTCTTTTCCTTAGTTTACTCATCCTATAAAATGGAAATAACAATAGCACCTACTTCCCAGAGTTGTTGTGAGGGTCAAATGAGATATGTATACATATATAAAGCAATTTGCAAACTTTAAAGCACTATAGAAATATTAGTTAAAATAATTATTATTGCAGCACAAGATTCCATTAGCTTCTTTGGCTGCCACATCACCCTGTTACCTCAAATTGATCTTGCAATCCACTTAAAACCCCAGATCTTTTTCATTTGAATCGCTCCCCAGTAATGTACTTGTAAGCACAGGTGTGTCTAGAGCTGGGCCAAGAGTGAAAGCGTGAGCAGAGGATAAATATCCTTTCTCTATACACACCTATGCTTATGAAGCTGTTTTTTTTGAACCTGTGTCAACTTTAAATTTACTCATGTTAAAGTTATCTTATTCAATTAGGCCCAAGTTCCTCCTGTTCTGACATCTTTTTGGAAGCTTGCTCTATCATACGTGGTGCTGGTTACCCTTTCAGCTTTGTGTCATCTGTGAATTCAGCGTGCTTTAGTCAATTAGATCTCCCAAATACCAGCTTGATGATTTTTGAGTGAACAAGTCTTTTCCACTTTCCCAGGGTCACACAAAGCAGAACAAGTCTTCTCCCTCTTCCATACAACAGCCCTTTAGAGAGTTGAAAAGGTATCCTGACTCCTCTAATTCTTTTTCCTTTAAATGATAAAATGTCCAAATGCAGCGAGGCTGAGAGGAAGCACTTCTAGCTGGGGCCAGGGAATGCTCAAATGAGATAGTGATTCTAAATATTCTAGTGTGTTTATGGTCCTCAGGGAGTGTTGTTCTTTAGTCAGGAAAACATGGATTTAAATCCTGCAGCAAACACTAAATAGCTTTATGGTCCTAGGAAAGTGTCTTAAGTTTTCAAAGGCTTAATTTTGTTATCTATTATTGTCGTTGTTGTCATTGTTCAGCCATTTCAGTCGTGTCTGACTCTTCACGACCCCATTTGGGGTTTTCTTGGCAAAGATATCGGAGTGGTTTTCTATTTCCTTCTCCACTCCTTTTGCAAATGAGGAAACTGAGGCAAATAGAGTTAAGTGACTTTCCCAGGGTCACACAGTTAGCATGAGGTCAGATTTGAACTCAGGAAGACGAGTCTTCCTAACTTCAAGTCTGGCACTCTATCCACTGTGTCACCTAGTTGCCTTCTCCTCTATACAGTGGGGATAACAATATTTCTAATACTTACCCAGCAACGTTGTCGTGAGGGTCAAATGAGATAATACAGGAAACATCATGTATTAGAAGAGTGCTTTATAAACCTTGTAACCCGACATAAATGCCAATTACTGTCACTATTATATAATTATTGTCATTATTTTATAGACAGTGTGTTGACCCTGGCAGTATCTTTGGTATTAAACTCCCTAAATAAAGTTTAGATGTCTACATTTCGTCTACTGGTGAGGATTTTGTTGTGCCATTAGTAATATTTCTTTAAGAAGATGTCAGTTGCCTTGACAAAGTTAACTCCTCAATGAAGCAAATATCCTTTCCTTAACTTGGGCAGCTGTATTTGACACCACATTGAGAATATTTGATTGATTCATGACAGGTTCATAAACCTTGGCTATAACCTTGAACTCAGCCCTTAAAACCCAGAGAGTTCAAAGGAGGCCGGAACTGAGAGGAGAAAGGATACCCAGACAATGACAGGTGGGAGGTAGAAGATGGGAGGAGGGAATCGAGGAGAAGCCAGTGAAACACACATTGACTCAGTTTCTTGGATGGAATCCCCATGCTGGAGGGAGCCAGGTAGTGAAGTACCCTAGAGAGCAACTGCTAAAGGCATCTTAGAACAGTGAGAAGTACCTAGAGGGCTTGATCTGGATCTACAGGAACTCAAAATGGCAGCCATGGAGAGGCAGGGACAGAGAAATGAAAGAATTCCTGGGTCAATCCTACTGGACCCAAAACAGATAGTACCTGGGAACATTCATTAGCAATAATAATGATAGCTCACACTTATACAGTGCTTACTGTGTGCCAGACACTCTGCTAAGCACTATACAATTATCTCATTTGTTCCTCGCAACAACCCTGGTAGGTAGGTGCTATATATTATTCCCATTTTAGAGATGAGGAAACTAAGACAAATGCAAGTTAAGTGACTTGCCCAGGTTCACATAGCTAGTAACTGTCTAAGGCTGTACTTGTGCTCAGATCTTCCTGACTCCCAGGTATAGCACTTTATTCACTGTGTCACCTAGTTGTTCCTCAATAATTAGCCAAAGATAAGGTTCTAGATGCTGAGCTAAATTGTTTTTCTTTATCCCTTTTAATTTTCTCAAAGTCTGGGCTTGAATGGGTTGATCTGATTTGAGGTAGTTTTGATTACAAGATAACCTCATTGATTCTGATATGGGTAATTCAGCAATTTTTAAATGTCCTTATTTTCAACTGTGCAGGAGGCATTGCATTAATTGTTTTTTTGTTTGGTCGTCAAGGTGATAGAAAACACTGCTTTAAGTGCATTTAAACTATGGTTTAACCTAGTTCTCAAAATCACTTAGAGAGGGTCAGAATGTTTAGGGGCAAATCTCACCATCATGGACATTTTAGATTGTTCCCCTAAGAAAAAGCCTAGTTTTGGGAAAAGGTTTATTTTTAGTCATGTAAGAATGAGTAGTGAGCATGATTTAAAGAAGGAAATAGGCTGAAGCAGATTCTATTTAGTAATTTTACAGCAATATCAACACCTCACTTACCTGGTGCTCAGAGGTCTAGTACCTTAAACATTGGGACCTGTAGATAGAACCTATAGATGGATAGTGAAAGCATTGACTGTGGAAAAAGGCCTACCTCTCTAACTCTGGCAGCAGCCAATTCCGCTTTTAAACCATTCTCAGTTTTAGGATGTGTCATTTTCAAATTACTGGACGAGTAAATATGGCAAAACTAGAGCACCTTTAGCCTAGGGTATTCAACAGGGGCCAGGACCACTCTAGGGGGTGTCACCTACTTGGAGACCTAGAGGCAATTAAAATGTTCTCTGGCTATAGAGAGAGGGGTGAGCTTGGCATTCATAGCCAGCTAAATGGCATTTCCAACATCTGTGAACCAAAGTGGGGGTGGGGAGAGATGGGGAGCAGAGGACCTTCATCCTTATACCACAGGACTGTGTGTGTGAGTGGAAGCTATCAGGGCTTCTAATCTACCAACAGGATTTCCCTGTTATTGTCTCAAACTTACTCCTCAGTAGCCTCTTTCTTCTTGGTCTCACATTATCCTGTTAACACAAATTAACAAACATTTCTTCACATATCCCCTCCATATTAACCATAAGGCACACAGAAGATCCTTAGTAGAAATAATCCCCTCTGCTTCTCCCTTACCAAGACCATGGCTAGATAAATGTGTGGCTCTTACTAAGAGGATATATGACTTTGACTTTGCTAGAGATATGGAGATGACTGAGAAGGGAATAAGCATTTTATATAACACCTACTATGTGTCAGACCTTGTACTAAGAACTTTACAGTTTATTATCTCATTTAATCCTCATGTCAACCCTGTGAGATAGGTGCTGTTATTATCCCCATTTCACCATTGAGGAAACTGAGGCAAACAGAGGTTAAATGACTTGTCTAGGGTCAAACAGCTAGTAAATGTCTGAGGTCACATTTGAACTCGGGTCTGCCAGATTTCAGGCCTAGCACTCTATCTACACTGCCTCCAAAATAAAAACATCCCCTTATGTCTGACTCAATGTTAACTGAAAAAAGCAAAAGATTTTTATGAGTCAGTCAGTGCACTTGGCTAAGATGGGTATATTTTTTTTGAAAAGTGGCCTTATTTTCTTAGAGAATCATAGGATTTGAAAGCTGCAAGTGACTGTAGGCATCAGCTGGTCTAACTCCCTTATTTTTACAAATGTGGAAATTGCAGCTTATTGTGGGCATAGAACCTGGTTGAGGTCACCTAGATAGTAAGGAGTAGTAACTAAGTATAATGTGGTGCATGGAGTATTATCCTTGGAAGTGTGAAGAACTGGAACTAGATTCAAATCTCCCCTCTAACACATATTAACTACGTGATCCTACATGTTAATTCAA